TGTACCTGCACAGTTAGTTTTTCTTGCCTAAGTGTAGGACTTTCCTTTTCTGTACAGTGAATTTCATTTTGTTAGATAGGGCCCAGGGTTCGAGTCTGTCAAGATCCATCTGGATCTTCAGCCTATCTTCTTGGGTGTCAGCTATTCCTGCCAGCTTAGTATCATCTGCAAATTTGTTAAGTTTCCCTTCTATTCTCTCATCTAAGTCATAAATGAAGATATTGAAGAGTCCTGGGCCTAAGAGGGAACCTTGTGGCACCCCACTGCTTACTTCCCTCCATGTAGACTTAGACCCATTAAGGACTACTCCTTGAGTACAGTTTGCCAGGCAGTTGCGAGTCCATCTGGTGGTGGTGCTATCTATTCCACTTTTTTCTAGCTTACTAAGAAGTAGGTTGTGGTCTACTTTGTCGAATGCCTTGCTGAAATCTGAATATATTATGTCCATAGTATTTTGCTGGTCTACTAATTTAGTCACTGTGTTGAAGAATGACATAAGATTGGTTTGGCATGATCTGTTCTTAACAACGCCGTGCTGACTGCTAGTTATTCCTTTTGTTTCTAGATGTTGTCAGATCTGGATTTTTTATTATCATTTCCAGTATCTTCCCGGGTATTGATGTCTATAGTTTCTTGGGTCCAAGGTCTCTTCTGGTCTTCGGATTCTGTGTTCTTGAAATCTTCTCAAAACGTTCTCAAAGGTTTTGCTTTGTCAAAAAGGCCACTGATTTTCCTTGAGGAGGAAGAGGAGGATTACTTCTCGTCCAAGAAAGCTACTCTCATACCCATCAGCCTGACTTCAATACCAGGCAAGATTGTGGAAAAGATAATCAAGCAGTGAACCAGCCAACACCTACAATCCAACAAAGAAACAACCAAAAGCCAACATGGGTTTGTTAAAAGCAGATCATGCCAGACTAATCTTTTGACCTTCTTTGGCAAAGTGACAAAATGAGTTGACCAGAGGAAAGCTGTCGATATAATTTTCTTGGATTTCCGTAAGGCGTTTGATCAGGTAGACCATAACCTACTACTAGATAAAATAGAAAAAAATGTTAGACGGCATCATCACCAGATGGGATTCGTAACTGGCTGACCATCCGCACTCAACATGTGGTTCTCAATTCTACCTTCAAATTTTGCCTTTGTTAAAAGCAGATCATGCCAGACAAATTTTAGAGGACGGAATATAGGCCATTAAAGGCCATGACTTCTCATCCAGGAAGCTTCCTCGGTTGTGATGGGGGAAATGAGACTTTGGGATGATCCGTTACCTTCCATGCAGACATCCCTGAATCTGCAACAGCCTCTTTTTCGGATGGGGAGAAATTGGGCTTTTGTTCAAACCGACAAGTACTTTAGAATTTCCTACAAGAGTCCAAAGTCTGCCAAAATATAATTGAGCGGCAGCCCCCGGCCCAGTGTGGCTTGGATAGGGTGCCATGGGGAGGGGGGGGGAGGGCAAGGCAAATGTGGAAGTTGTAATTCAAGCTGTGTGGTGAGGACCAAGTCACCCACCCCTGGCCTCCAAAAACTCAAGGCTGGGGGGGCTTTAATGGAGATGGGAGACTTTGGGTCTGATGGTTCCTGCTGGGCAACCAAGGGGCCTCCCCTCCAGGAGCCCCGTAGCTCCTCTTCTTCCCTCAGCAAAAAAAGGCGGGAAAACCTCCCAGCTGCTTCTGAGGAGCCTAAAAGGCGGGAAAATCCTGGCACCACACAGGCCGGGTGAGCCTGAGGGGCCTAAAAGGCAGGAAAATCCTCACATCACCTGGGCCAGGTGAGCCTGAGGGGCCTAAAAGGCGGGAAAACCCTCACATCACCTGGGCCAGATGAGCCTGAGGGGGAAGAGCCTAAAAGGCAGGAAAACTTCCCAGCCGCCTCAGAGAAGGGGGAGGGGGAATCTAAAAGGCGGGAAAACCTCCCAGCACCACATAGGCCAGCTGAGCCTGAGTGGGCGGGGCCTAAAAGGCGGGAAAATGCGGCTGAGTAACAACCGTTCTCTTGTCTGGGAAAGAAGCTTCTGGAAGCACCCTCCTGCTGGCCTTACTTGACACCCCTGGCAGAATTTGGCAAGAGGACCAGGAACAACAGGCTCCACCGGCCCGCTTTTCCTCACGGATGGCTGGCTGGTCAGGTTCATTGGATCGCCCGCAGCTTTCTTGCCCCGTTTCCCACAAGCGGTTTGCCATTGCCTCTTTCCAGGAGCTGAGGCAGAATGACTGGCCCAAGGTCATCTAGCTGGCCTCACGCCTGGGTCCCTTCCCCCTCACCAACTCCAAAAGATGGTGACCACATGACCCTGGGATGCTGCGAGCCATCGTAATACGTACACACTTAAGTTACCAAGTGCCCAAATTTTAATCATCAGGATGCGAGGACCGGTTGTCACTTTTTCCGGTGCCGTTCCGATTTTGGACAGTCACTAAACCAAGGGCTGGAAACAGGACTACCTGCATATATGGCAGCCCATCTCAGTATCTGCCCCCATTTTTGTAGATAGTCCTTTATTTATGACCAATCACATTTAGCGACCATCACAAAATGACCTGGTTCTAAAATCTGGTGGCCATGACTGCAACTGTTTACTTCCAGATTTTGGCAAAGATTTGCTTAATGGCCACCACCACCAAAACCCTGGAAAAATCAAAATTATGTGACATGTTTTATCTATGATCCAAGTCACAGTTGTCCCAATGGTGCTTTTTTTCAAAAGGCAACTAACTGCACTTCCTTTTTCCTTGAAGACGTTTCACTTCCTTCAGTTGAACCGAGGGATGATGATAAGCAAAATCTTTTCAAGGAAAAAACAAAAGGAAGTCCAGTTGCCTTTTGAAAAAGCACCCCATTGGGGTGATCTGTTTTATGACCAGGCAGGCCCCATTATGGCAAAAGGAGTCCTGCTGAATCGTTACAGGGCAGGGGCCGTGGACGGGGCCAGATATCCGCGAGGAAAATGGAAGCGGCTTTCCAATCTTTCCCTCCACAGGGGGACGAAGATCACCATACTTTCACACTACGAAGTCAACTGTGCAAAGATTTAAGATGAATCTCCACATCACTTTGAGTTATACCTTGAGGACGGCCTTGTGATTCCAATAAAGAAACTTCGTATGGAAACCTTTGTAGAGTTTGCCTGGTCTGTCTTTATATTCAGCCGGCAATTTTAAAGATAGAACATTTCCAATCTTTCCCTCCGAGGGAAAAAACCTCAGAATCCCCCTGAAATAAAATGAAGTTTGGCCAAACGTATGTAAAAACCTTCTACGCAGCACCCAAACAGCCGCGGGGGTTTCTCCTGCACCAAAGGAGCATCCGAGGACAGGAAGAGACCGTACCCCTCCCCCTTTGATATTCCCCATCAAGCCAGTTGCTGGAATGTGGCCTATGTGGTGCTGGGAGGTTTTTCCCGCCTTTTAGATTCCCCCTCCCCCTTCTCTGAGGCGGCTGGGAAGTTTTCCCGCCTTTTAGGCTCTTCCCCCCTCAGGCTCACCTGGCCCAGGTGATGTGAGGATTTTCCCGTCTTTTAGGCTCCTCAGGCTCACCCGGCCTGTGTGGTGTGAGGATTTTCCCACCTTTTAGGCTCCTCAGAAGCAGCTGGGAGGTTTTCCCGCCTTTTTCTGCTGAGGGAAGAAGAGGAGCTATGGGGCTCCTGGAGGGGAGCCCCCTTGGCTGCCCAGCAGGAACCATCTTGGATGGGCTGGGGAGGGGGAGGAGGAGACCCCCTGCAGATTCTCTCTAGCACAGAGGAGGGGAACAAGATCCCCTTTTATGCCCTCAACTCCCAGGGTTGCCTTAGCAGCTCACCCCTCAACCACTGCACATCCCCACTCAGCCCCTACAGACACCGGCTTGTACCGTTTTTTGTTTTTATTTACATGTTAAAGAACCAGAAGATTTAACATACAGTAAGATGAAACAGAGCCCTAGAAGAAGATGAACAAGTGGGAATCAAAGAAAACAGTAGAAAAAATATACAGTCAACGTAAAAAAAATCTCAAGAGGGCCGCCTCTCCTCTTCCGAAGGGCAGCCGCCCCCGAGGGGCAAAGAACATGCGGTGGCGATTGTGCCAAAGACATAACACGGTTGCACTCACTCCGGGTCCAGGGAAGCCAACGAGGGGAGAAGAAAAGGGGGGGGGAGGGGGAATAAATAAAGAACCTCGAGTGCCGGTGGGGGGAGTAAGTGAGGAGGAGGCAACTTTCCTCCCCTCCCCCACCTGAGAGGGGAGGGGGGCTCCAAGCTGGAGCACGGAGTTGGGGGGGGAGCGCACCCCACCCCAGGCCATCTCTTGTCTCTCCGGAGAAGGAGCGTCACCAAACTCAAAACTCGCTAAATGCCGGATAAAAACTACACAAAGGCTTTGGAGTTCAAGGCGGGCCTCCCCTTCTAGAGCAACCTGTACACAGTCCCAGCGCCGCCGCCGCCCCCCTTCCAGCCGAAGCACAAACAGGGCGGGGGACCAGCTGTCGCCCCCACCGCGGTCCAGTGGGGAGGAGAGGGGAGAGCCAGCGGCCGAGCCTTCCCACGCTGACCTCTCCCCCCCCCCCGGGGGGGGGAAGGAGCCCCTCGTTCGTCCCGCTCTTCCGGGTTCCGATCCTGCGGAACCGGCCTTCCTCCCGCCATCCCGTCTCTCCTCGCTGGCTCCGCGGCCGCCTAGCTGGAGTCCGAGTCGCTTGTGTCCGAGGAAGAGGAGGAGGAACTGGAGCTGCTGGAGTCGGAGCTGGAGCTGCTGGCACTCAGGCGGGAGATGGGCAGCTGCTGGGCAGACTCCGGTTTCTCATTGGCTGCAGGAGGGGAACGAGGGACGGGAAGATGGGTCAGCCTTGGACCAGGAAAGGCCAAAAAAAAACAACCACAACCCCGTCCCTCCCTCCAGAGCCCACGGCGCCTCCTGCGGCTGGAGACCGACTGACCTTTCTTGGGCGGCTTCTTGGCCGAGTTCAGCTGCCCGCTGACATCCTGCAAGCGCCTCTCCAGCTCGCGCTTCTTCTCCAGGGCCAGCTCCTCCTTCGTCTTGCCCACCGGCTTCTTCAGGGCTGCGGAGGGGAGAATCGTGGTCTAAGGGACTCCCGTGGGGGCTAGCCACACAGGCCCAAACCCTGACAAGCCGTCCGGTAACAGAGGCCATCCAGCTGGGGCCCGAGACCTCTATTGCTAGCCCGGTAACAAGCCCTGTTCCAGGCTGCGTGGTCTATGAGCCCACCCCACTCTGGTTAAACCGTGGTTTAAAAAAAAATCACAACAACTGGTATTGTCAAAGGTGAGCCCAACAGCCACGGTCTCCAGGCCTGAAAAGGCCTTGTGGGGGTCAAACCTTGGGAAAAGAAGGGTAAGATGGATGCTCCCCCGCCCTCCTCCTCCTCTTCCTCCTCCTCCCACACCGGAGAAAACAGCAGCAAGAGCCACAGGGGGCGTGATGTGCCGTGGAGGAAGTGGGCTGGAAGGGGATGCAACTAAGCCCTGCCTAAACCACCATTGATCAGGATCCTTTGGAGGAAATCCAAGTTGAGACCCGAATCCTGAAAGGGTTTGTCTTTTTAAGGAGGTTTCCTGCTCCCCTCCCCCTCCCTCCCCAGCTGGGGAGCTTCACAAGGGCAACCCGGGGAGGGAGGCCAGCACCACCAATGGGCACACCCCCTCCTAAAGGACTCCCCCCTTAAAAAGAGGGCTGGGTGGCCCAGGCGACGGGGAGGCTTCCCGGGCAAATCCAGCCGCCCAGAGGAGGAGGAGGAGAGTTCAAGGACACAGACCCACAAGAGAAGGAGGAGGAATTGCAAAATTCAAGGTTGCAAAGCAGCTGCTGCTTCCTAAAGGAATCCCTCAAGGGCTGCAACTCCTCCCCGAGTAGACAGGGCAGGGCGGGGGAAGGTCACAGCCGTGGTTATCGGGCTGATGCTCTACCCAGAGATTTCTTCCCTCCCCTCCCCTCCCCTCCCCAGAGAAAAATCCTGATGTGGTTTTCCTAGCCAGGCTCTCTGGTAAACAAGGCCGGCAGGAAACCCTCCCTGGGAAATCAGGACTGCCTGCGCCGTGGAAAAGAGACGCCATCTCTACCCCGGGGGGGGGGGAGAAGAGGGGCTTGCCTGAACCTAGCCCTGAACCCCCTCCCCGGAGCCCTAGAGCGCCAACGTAGAGCCGACGCCAGGAGGAGGAGGAGGAGGAGGAGGACCAATCCAGGCTGTTTTGCAAAACCGACGGCAACGCAGGAGACAAACGAGGCAGGATGAGACACGCACCTTGCTCAATCTTACCCCTGGGGGGTACCTGCCCACCTACCCGCCCGCCATGAAACAGGGCAAGGCCAGATTTGCCAGCCGAGTCCAGAGGGGGTCCCCCCTCCTTTCCGCCAGCCCCACTTTCCCTCTCCAATTGCAGGCCCAGCCCCCGTCCTCAGAGCAGCCTTCCTCCCCCCGCCGTGGAAGCGGGAAGGAGAGACAGGCTGTGGGGATCCCCCTCCCCAGCTCCCCGGGAGTACCGCCCAGACTCACTCTCGCTGTAGGGCTTCCGAGGCTTCTTGCGCAGGCACGAGAGGACGTAGTGCTCCAGCTCCCGCAGCGTCGAGGCCTTGAGGGTTTCAAAGTCGATCTCGATCTCCTCCGGGTTGGAGTCCCTCAGGGAGGGCTCCCGCGACTGGATGATGTGCACCACCCGGCCCAGCTTCTCCCCAGGCAGCTTGTTGATGTCCAGGCTGAGCTGGCGCTTCTCGTCGTAGCTCATGGGCTTGCTCTCCTCTTCCTCCTCCGAGTCAAAGAGGACGGGCATCGGGGGAGCCACCACCGCCTTGGGGACTGACTTCTTGGTGTTCCTGGAGAGGGAGGAGGAGGGAGGGGCGTTCAGGTGACAGGCCCGCCAGAAAGGGGGTCAGGGAGGGGACGGGAGCAGCAGCTGTCAGACTGTCTTGGCTTGTTTTTGACACACAAGAGTTTCGCCACGGTCGATCCGCCGGGGAAAGAGAGTCATCACCCAGCTGACGTCTTTCCCACCCACCTCCCCCTCGCGCCACATTATCCCGGCTACTCACTTGCTCCCGCCACTGCTCCCGCCGCCTCCACCGGCCTTCTTCGACTTCTTCAGCTGGGCCGGGTGAGCGCGGCTCTCCTCGTCTCCCGTTTTGGCTTTGCGCTTGTCCGATTTTTTCTTCTTCTTTTTCTCCTTCTTGTCGCGCTTCTTCTTGGGCTTGGACACCGGTCCCTGGGAGAGGGCGGCCAGCTGCTCGTGCACTGCCCGCAACTGGGAGGAGGAAAGGCGGAGGGAGAAATGGTTTAGGGGCCCTTCTCCCTTTCTCTCCCCCCTGGCTCCCACCAAGGCCGTGGGGGGGAGGGAGAGGGTGGCCCCTGCCTCACCTGTTCCTGCAGCTCAGCCAGCCGATTGGCCCGCTCCTCTTCCGAGTCCGAACTCTCCTCCTCCGAATCCGAGGAGCTCTCGCTGCTGCTCTCATCCTCGTCCCCCTCTTCGTCGTCCTCCCCCTCTTCGTCATCCTCCTCTTCCTCCTCGTCGCTGGAGGAGTCATCCGTGGAGGACTTCATCAGAAGCCCCGGCTGTGGGAGGGATGTTGAGGGGGGGCTGATGTTGAGGGGCTCATCGGGCATCTTGGCGTAGCTGAATTCAAAGACGTCCTGCGGGAAGACCACGGAGACAAAATCCCGCCCCCCCGCCGTTATTGCTCTGGCCACCAAAAGCCCCCCACCCCACCCCAAACCCCATCCTTAGATTCTCATGGCTCACCTGCAGCTTCCGGGCCATGGCCACCACATCGTGGTCAGGAGGGTTGTACTTGTAGCAGTTGGAGAACATCAGCCGCAGGTCGGACGCAAACTCCTGCGCATCGTGGTACTCCCGGTTCTCCATCTTGCGCTGAGGCCGGGCGGACAAAGGGGAGGGAAATGAGGGGGTGGGGTGGGGAGAAGGAACATCGTGAGGCCCAGAGATCCAGAGCTTTCAACGCGCTCGGCAGGACGGCAACAAAATCTCCCCACGGGACCCATTGAATTCCCAACTGAGGATGCTGCCTCCAGCCTTCCGCAAAGTGTCCCGGGGACATGGCCAAGAGGAGTCGTCCAGGGAGCCCACCCATCCTTCATCACCCACAGACTACAAAACCCACCGCTTTCGTGCCCCTCCTGCCCACCAGCTGAACTACTTGACGTGGGTGCCTGGAGATAACATCCAGCACTACATAATTTGCCCTCCTTCCCTACGCCAAAAGCAAGGCTGCCAAGCAGAAGCGCATTTTTGGAAAGGCCCTTTTAGTGTTGAGGAAATGCTCGGGGGGGTGGGGGGGTGGGATGGGCGCTCCTCTGCTATGGCCTACACCTAGCCTTTCCCCCTTTCCCCACCCTCTCTCTCTCTCTCTCTCTCTCTCCATTCTTTTATTGCAAAGGAAAGGAAGAAAAAAGGATGGGCAGGGAAGCATAAGCTCCCCTCTTTTAAACGCTGGGACTCTACATAGAAAGCCGGTTTGGTCTAGCGGCCAAAAGCACCGGGCTAGAAAGCGGGAAAACTGCAGTTCCTCTTTCAACCCAACCGACGTTATTATGAGGGAAAACCAGATAATGGTGTCTTGTTGTGTTTTCCCACTGGACTCATTTGTAAAACGAGGGAGGCTACGAAGGAAACAACGCAGAAGGTGCGACACGGACAAGATTCCTCTCACCCAGAGGAGCGAGGCAAAACCGAGGCAAAGCCAGCCACCGGGGGCGGTCCCTGCACTCTCCCCGCCCAAGGAGAGACTCCCTTGCTGCCATCCATCCCCCCTCCTGGGGGCTCCCCTCTCCCAAGGCTCTCCCCCTCACCCGCCCCCATCGCCCTTCCAGCTCACCTTAATGCTGCTGAGATCCATCGGGTGCTTGATGATCTCGTGGTAGTCGTGGAGACCCAGCGCGGAAGCGTCGACGGGCTTGTAGAAGGGCCAAGCGTAGGCCGCGTGCTTCTTGGAGACGAGCTCCTTGAGGATGCCGTTGCAGTACTTGAGCTGCTCCGAGAGCTTGCCTCGCTTGGACGTCTGGTGCTGCTGCGAATCCGGCAGGTCTTTGCGGGGCGGCTTGATGGGGCGGCCGCTCTCCCTCCGGGCGGGAATCTTGGCTGCTTTAGCCTCCAAGATGGCAGCGGAAGGGGAAGACTCTCCCCCGCTGGTGGCGATGATGGCCGTCGGGGTGGGAGTCGTGGTGTCCGCTTTCCGCTTGACGCCTTTTTTCTGGGGAGGGACGGCAAGAAAGCAGCTTTGGGCGAGTGCCCAGGGTGCTGTGCTGTAGCCGATGGGGACCCCATGCTCTTCCGGAGGGCGGCAGCCAAAGCCCACCTGGGGCCCCACCTCCCGGGCTTCCTACCTAGCTGACCCCAGTGCCCCCCCGGCCTGGGGCTCCGAGCTCACCTTGGTCACCGGGTGCGTGGGCGCAGGGACAGCCAGCAGCGGCTGGGAGGCCGCGGTGGAGTGCAGTGGCTTGAGGAGAGGGGTGGAGATGACGGAAGGGTGGGGGATGTTGATGATGGTGGTGGGGATGTCGGCGCTGCCAGAGAACAACCCGGTGTGGGACACCGAAGAGATGGCTGGCACTTGCTGGGCGGCGGCATTGGCCGCGGCCAGGAGGGCTGGGGAAGAGAACCGCCAGAGATTAGCCGAAGCAGCAAGTCCACACACCCCCATGTCCCGTTCCCAACCTGTAAGCCGTTCAACACAGCATTCAACACCTTCCCCTAGGTCGTTCCCCCTCCGCCCCGCCCCCCGCCCTCGGACCTCTGCGCCTTTCTGCTTACCTGCCGCCCGAGAGGCTCCCTTCTTGTGGCTGTTCTTGGCCACCGTGATGACAATCTCCTGCTCCTCCTGAGGCATCTGGGCTACTTTCTGCAGAAAGATCTTCTCCAGCGTCTGGGCCATCAGCACAATATCGTCTGTGGGCTGCAATGAGCAACAATCAGGCGAAGGGCAAGGAACAGATCGCCGGGTCAAAAGCTTCGCAGACGGGACGCTGCTCCCGCTTCAAGCGCCACTTTCCTACCAAAACTCTTCAGACAGAGGCGATCTTAAAAAAAAGCTCAGCGCTAAAAGCTCAAACCGCGCCGCCAAATGCCTTCCAGGAACGGGGGTGCCCGCAAAAGCTTTCCCAAAAATGGATGAGGGTTCAACAGTCCATATAACCGAAGTTATGGTTCTTATTTCTCAACGGATCCCCCCAAATTAGCTTGAGCCGGACCTTTGGACAACAAGAAAACCGCTTCCTCCCACGACGGCCCGTCTGCACTAGAACCACCGAGGCAAAACTTCCGGCAGATCTGAACTCGCAGCCGGCACGGCCGTAGCCAGTTAGGGGACCTGCCACTCAGGCATTCAAAACCAAGGCCTTCGTCCCTTGGAAAGGGGAACCGGGAGCGCCCGGAGGCGGCTCCAAGCACCTCGTCTCTCCGGGCTCACCTTGTTGTAGATGTAGCAGTTGGTGAACATGGTGTTAAAGTCCTGCATGCATTCGGCCGAACTCCAGTAGTAGCTGTTCTCCAGGCGGCGCTTGATGGTGCCCATATCCATCGGCTGCTTGATGATCTTGTGGTAGTCCTGCGGAGGGGGAGAGAGGGGGGGAAGGCCGTGGCCATCAGGGACGAGACCACAAGCCGCTCCTCACGCAGCAACGCAAGCCGCAGCCAGACACCCAGGGGTGCCCCTCACTGTCTAGGCAACTAAGCAGCCCCTCGGGCAACAACGCGCACGCGGGAGGACGAGATACCCCGCCTGGCTCTTTCAAAACGGATGGAAAATCTGGCCAACACGCAAGGAAGTCCCACCCCTCCCTCCTTCTGGCCTTGGGGACACCTGAGAAAGCTTCCCCCACCCCCACCCCGCAAGGACCAACCCTACTCAAAGGACCGCGCTGCTGCTACGTAGCCACCTTGGTGGGGCCCCCAAACAATGTTACCTCCGGGCTTTAACTCCTTAGGTGCCGACCGCTAATTTTGGGGGGGCCGCTTGATGTCTTCTACAAAGTCATGGATGGGAAATCTGCAAAACGCATTCAGGTCACAAGAGATTAGAAAGGGAAGGGCGCAGAAAGCCGCTCCATCCTCTCTCATCCATGCCTTTGTAGGGACATGAGGGAGGAGGACCAGCCGCAACCTCCACACAACAGGGCGCCCCCCCCTCCCTCGTGTGGGAAGAGACCCTAACCGCTCGGAAGGACCCTGACTGACTGTCGCTCCGCTAACGGAAAGGACCTCCTGGCGGGGGAGAGACTGAGACAAAAAGCCGACCTAGTAGCGGCGGCGCCAGCAGGAAAAGCCGGAGATGATCGACCAGGCGCCCTGCCACCCAGGGAGGGAAAAGGAGCCAGGAGCCGCCAAGCAGGGACGTGCACGGCCGCAAGCGCCCCCCCATCACAACAAACCCCCTCCCCTCCGCACGAGAAGGAGGATCGGTTACCGGGAGCCCCAGCTTGAGGGCGTCCACCGGCTGGCGGAAAGGCCAGGCGAACTGATGCTTCCAGAGAGCTTTCATCACCACTTTGTGCAGGTACTGGAGCTGGTTGGTGACCCGGCCGGGTTTTTTAGGGTTGGTGACTTCGGGTGGAGCCGGGACGGCTTGCGACAGCTGCTGTTGCTGCTGCTGCAGAGCCGGGACGGAGGCCATGGTGGGGCTCTCGAAACCCTCGTAGAGCAGCGACGGCTTACGGATCCGCTTGCCCGGCGTCGACTCCACCGCCAGGCCCACCAAGCCGGCATTGCCCTCACCCAGCAGCCTGCAAAACGGGGGAGCGACGGGCGCTCAGCGGGGCGAGGAAGACCCCAAGCGCTAACCCAGCGAGAGTGATCCAGCCCCAGAGAGGATCGCTCCCTCCCTCCCTGCACCGACCCAAGTGGGAACCTCCCTCCCTCCCATCGGGGAAGGTTTGCAGGAGGGCGGCCCGGTTGCTAGGCAATCCCGCCGCCGCCCCGCCTCCCTCCCTCCGCCTCTCTCTCTCTCTCTCTCTCTCTCTGCCCGCCGGTACCTACTTGCCGTTGGGGTTCACGTTCTGCAGCATGCCCGCCGATGCTGCTCCGCCGCCGCCGGCTGCTGCTGCTCTCTCCCGGGAGGGTCCCGCTGCAGCTGCAGCCGCCGCCTCCGTGGCCTCGGGGGAGCCCCCCACCTTTGCTGGGCGCGCGGTTCTCACAGGCGCATCGCGGGGAGGGGCCGCTGCATGGCGGGCCGCGCGGGAGCGCCGGGTCTGCCTTCCTCCTCCTCTTGTCGTTCCTCAGTTTCGGCCAAAAGCTCAGAAAATGGCGGCCCTCCGCAGCTGCGCGGCGCTGCAGGCGACTTCCCGCTCGCGAGGCTTCCCCCCCTCAGGGGATGCCGGGCCCGCCGCGGGGCACGAAATACGGGGCTTCCTCTCGTCCCCGGAGCCGCCGCGTCCGGAAGCGCCGGGAACCGGGCCGGTGGTGGCGAGCGGAGCCGCGGATGGCAGTGGATTGTAAGGCGGGGGGGGGGAGACTACGGTAGCCGCGCTCCGCCTCGGCCGGCGGGCTCTCCCTGAAGGGTGGGACGGGCGGGGGCGGCCAGCGCTACGGAAGCCGGGAGGAGGATCCGAGCGGACGACGACGACGACGACGATCTCTCCGGATTAAAGAGTCCGCCCCCTCTTCGCCGCACTCGCGCTGGGCTCCCCGATCGCGCGCGCAGAGCAGAGCTCCTTCCTTAGCTACAACGAAATGGCGCCTCTCGGCCTGCCCCCGACCGCCCTTATATAGGCGCTCGCCGCCTCCCCATTGGCCGAGAGAAGGGCTGATGTCACCATCCCGCCCCAGCCCCGCCCGTTCGCAGCCTCGACAGATGGCAGGGGGGCGGAACGCCGGACGAGGCCGCCCCGCCATTGGCCGAGACTCGAGTCAATCTCTCGGCCGCTTGACACCCCCCTCCAGCGCCCCCGACTCCGGCGGCCGGCTCGCGCATTGGGCCTCGCTGCCATTCGTTGCCTCCCGATTGGTCCCCGCGCCGTGCGGGGGCGGGGCGGCCAGAGGAGAGCGGCCGTTGGCTGTTGTCGTCCTCGGCTCACCGCTGGGGGAAGGGAGGGGAGACGGCGGAGGCGCCATTTTGGACAGCGGGAGAAGCAGGGTGACAGGTGGGGGGCAAACGGCCGCCGCGGCCCGTCCCCGTCCTCCTCTTCCTCCCTTCGAAACAGTCCCTTCCACCAGGGCAAATGAAGCGTCCGGGCGGGAAAGCGGGCGTCGCCCGCCCCAGCCGGCGCTTCCCGCCAAAACCCGAAACTCCCCTCAGCCGCCTCAGCCACAAAAGATGCTAAACGGCAGGGGCTCGGCCGAGCCGCCTCAACGAAATCCCTCACCTAGAACGCCCACGGGGGCCCCCCTCGGCCTTCCAACGCAGGCCGGCGCGCTCCGCGGGGAAAGGCGGCCGAATGCCGCGGCTGAGTCATTTCCGTTCGGGGCGGGTCCCCGGGCCTGAAGGGAGCTACCTCTCCCCCCCCCACCTTCGCTTGGATGCCATGACGCAGCGCTTCCACGAGCGCTTCCATCTTGAACGGAGGGAGGGGGGGGAATGACCGCTATATTCGCCTCCCCTCAGTCCCTTCGCTGATTCCATCAATCTTTCTCCCCCCACTTCCCATTGGCCGCTGTTTTGAGGCCCCGCCGGAGTCTCCCCGGCGCCCTCAGCGCCCCCGACAACTCGAGGCGGCCGTCACGTGACCGCGGAGCGCCCTCCCCATTGGCCGCCACGAACGGGAGGGGCCCGGGAGGCGAAAGGCGGCAGGAATTCGCGTAGCCCGCTCGCCCGACGGCGTCGCCGGAGCGGGAAACAAACAGCGAGGGTGCGGGGAAACAAAAAAACAAAAAAAAAAGCCTCTCCTCCATGGAGTTGGTGAAGCGAAAAAAATCCTACCAAGCGCTGCCGCGGCCGCCATGGGCGGGCGGGTGGGGGGGGAGAAGAAAGCCTCGCGTCACCGCAATCCGATTGGATCCCCGCCGTCACGTGACCTCGCCGCGGCCCGTCGTCCCGAAAAGCCCGGATGCTGCCGGAGGACCGTTTCTTGCCGGCCTCCCCCGCCGCGCGCCGCCGGCCGGCGAATGAACCGAGTCCCGAAAAAACGGCTCGCCGGCGCGGCCCCCTTCCGGCGGCCCCCGCCCCCGTCCGAGTCTCGCTTTGGGCGGAAAATCAGCATGGCTCCCGCGACGCCCGGAGATGCCGACTGCGCATGCTCCGCCTCGCTTTTTTTTTCTTCCCCCCCCCCCCCCCTCTCCCCCCCTCTCTCCCTCTCTCTCTCTCCGGCCGCGCGTGCGCACCAGCCCGGTGCGGGAGCGGTGGGGACGCATGCGCAGTCGCGGGTGGTTGCAGCCCGCCGCCGGGGTCCCCGTGGGATTTCCCCGGCTTGACCCCCGCCGGCTGCAAAGGGCGTCCTCCGCGGGAGAGTCGCTCGCGGCTGCGGGTGGAGCCTCCCGCGAGCGTCTGCCTGCCCGGAGGCCGCGAAGGGCCGTGGATCCTGCCCCCGGGGTCCGGCCAGATGACCTCTGGGGATCCCCCGCTGCCCTCCGCCGCTCCAGGGAAGCTTCTGCTCCGGAGGGGCTGGAAAGGGAGGGAGGCCCGGCTCCCCCCGCTCCTCTTGGGGAGAAGCCCCTCCGCCCAGCCCATCGGCGAGCGTTGCTGGGCTTGGGGGTTCCGGTTGGGGGTCCCCAGCGCCCCCCCCCAGACTGATGGGGAGGGGGGTATTTGAGGGGGAATGGGGGGGGTCCTTCCAGCGGCCAAGGCGAGGGTCCTGGAAGGCAGCTGAAGCCGCTCTGCTGGCAATGCAAGCGGGCCTGGGTCCCGTTTTGCTTGGCGAGGCTGACCCACCCCCACCCCTCCCTGAGAAGAAGAGGAAGAAGAGGTTGAGGGAGAAGAAGAAGAAGGTGGAGGAGGAGATGGAGGAGGAAGAAGAGGAAGAGGAAGAAGAGGTTGAGGGAGAAGAAGAAGAAGGTGGAGGAGGAAGAAGAGG